TGGAAGACTGGTGAAGGGGGTCTCTCTCTCTCTCTCTCTCTCTCTCTCTCTCTCTCTCTCTCTCTCTCTCTCTCTCTCTCCCGTACTAACCTGTGAAGGTGGCACCTTGTTGCAGGTACATCGAAGACGAAGCTGGAGCTATGGCGCCACAGGTAAGTCTCCCTGGCCTCTGCCAACCATCTCTCTCTCTCTCCAACGCTACTCTAGCTCCTACTAGTGCCCAGCGCTGAAGACTACTGCTAACGCTACTACTACTCCTGTAGCGTTCCTCCAGAGTGCTGCTGCCGAATCCTGAAGACTACCTCCTGCCTCCTGCACGTGAAGTGCCTGGGAAGTTCCTATGAACTGCCTCCTGACTGCCTCCTGACTGCCTGCGGCCTGTAGGGCGGGCGAGTCTTATATAGTGCTGGCCCGTCTAGGAGGCTGCTCTTGCCAATGCCAAAACGTGCCAGACCCTGGCGTTGAAGTTCAAACAAAGGTTGTCTTGAAAACAGGCCCAAAATGGCCTGTGCTAAAACCCTGGTCTGGTGCCTAAGTTTCAGGGCAGGTCGACGTTATGAGGCCTGAAAAATGGCCCTCCGTTTCATGCTGAAAAGACTCGGGGCCTTGAGGGCCCTTTTTGGCTGAAACGACACAGGGCTTGTAGGCCCTCGTTTTCAGGCTTTTAGGCTGAAACGAAACAGGCCCTACACCTACGGACCCCTAGTCTACCTGGGCGGGCCCTGCTGGGCCCGTGTGGTACTGAGTATGCCACACTCCCCCCTCCTTGAAAGACCGAGCTTACCTGCAAGGGTGAAGCTGTCTGTTGCAGGGAGGGACTGAAGTCCGGGTGGGAGGCTGTGCAGTTTCCGTGGCTAGCCGTTTTTTTCTCATAATCAGTGTAGATATCTGGTGCGGAGGCTTGCAAAGCTGCCCGGGAAATCCATCGCGTGTCGTCGCGGTCGCACCACTTGAATGTGACTTTGTACTGCATTGGCTTGTTGCCGTGTTTGCGATGCGTGATGACGCGGTCGACTTCCTGATGACCATCCATGGAAGGAGGGTCCTGCGATCGCCGGCCCGGGAAGTCGTCGCTCTTGGCTGGTGTATATGTGGCCAGCTTGGAGGCATGGAAAACCGGGTGCACCCTGAGATGCAGCGGGATTTCGATCACAAAAGAGGGGCCCCCGGCTGATGTGACGGGCCATGGTCCAAACCACTTTGAAAGTAGCTTGCGGGACACATCTTGTTCAAGCGCAAACTCCTTTGTGGAGACCCAAACAAGGTCGCCGGCGCGGATAGCGCATGGCACGCGACGCCTGTTAGCTTGCTGTTGCATGCTGACTCGAGTCTTTTGCATGTTGGCACAGGCTTTAGCCAGCAAGTCCCTATACTTCTGAACGGAGGCGGGAGAACAAGCGGCGTCAATGTCGGTAGTCCTTGGAAATGGAAGATCAGCAAAGATACGGTCTTTCCTGCCACCGTGGTGCAACTCGAATGGAGTCACACTGATCGTCGGGTGCAACGAAGTGTTGTAGGCGAATTCGATGTCGGGGAGGCGGTCCACCCAATCCTTCTGATCCGTACGGATGAGTGTGCGAAGCATTACTTGAGCGGTTTGATGTGCCCGCTTCGTTTGCCCGTCCGTTTGCGGATGCCGAGCCAAACTTGGTTTCATCTCGGTGTCGAACTCTTTCATGAGGGAGGTCCAAAATGTCGACATAAAACGAGTGTCGCGGTTGCTGATGATGTCTTCCGGAACGCCGTGGCCGCAAATCCAGCCGGTGTGTAAAAGGCGCGTAAGTTCAGGAGTCGTGGCGTAGTACTTGCAAGGAAGAAATCGTGCGTACTTGCTCAATCGGTCAACGACCGTGAGAAGGTCCGTCGTGCCCGAAGCGGTCACGGGGGAACGGGCCAGTGACGTCCATAGCAATGGAGAGGCCGGGCTCCCACGGAATAGGCAACGGGCGTAACTCACCCTAGGTGTTGTGATTGCGGGGTTTGCTTCGTCAACAAACTTCACAAGAGTCGCAATACCGAGTGACGTCGGTAATGAGGTCAGGCCACCGGAATCGTTGCTGAAGTCTTGCGATCGTACGCTTGACACCAAAGTGGCCGGCGAGTCTCAAGTCGTGGTACTCGCCGAGGAGGCGAGTCCGTAAGTGACGGTCGTGTGGGAAGCATAGTAAGTCCTTGCCTCGTGAGTGAAGAAGCAAGTAGCCATCAACGACGTGATAGTGGCTGGTCGGCGGGTGATCCGAGGATAGTTGCTCGTAGAGCGTGGCGTATTCCGGATCGGACTTGTATGCTCGCACAAAATGCTGATGAAGGCCGTCGTCGAAACTGAACGCGTGGTGAGTCAATGCACAAAGATCTGATTTTTGCGAGAGAGCATCTGCGGCTCGGTTGGAGAGGCCCGAAATGTGTTTCGGTGTGAAGTTGAATTGATTGATGAAATACATCCATCGAGCAATCGTGGTGCTCACCGTGTCTTGCGTCTTGTAATATGTCAATGGGTTATTATTCGTCGCCCAAGTGAACCTACGACGCCCAAGGAGGAAGTGTCGCCAATGCTTGAGTACCGTGACGAACGCAAGCAACTTCTTCTTCCCTGCATCATCAATCGAGTTGATGGGAGGCACCTTTTGGCTGAAGTATTCAACCGGATGCCAGTCTACTCCGTCGTGTTGTTCCAAAACTGCACCCATGCTGTAGCCGGGAGCGTCCGTAGTCACTCTCGTAGGCAAGGTGGGATCGTGGATACTCAAGATGGGAGCGAACAGCAATGCCGTCTTCAATTTGGGGAACGAACTGCGAACTTCGTCGGTGAACTGGAAGGGCACCTTTGGAGATTGCAATCTTGATAAGGGTGCGGCGATCCGTGCGTATCCTCCGATGAAGCGTTGGTAGTACCCAACCAATCCCATAAAAGAGCGGACTTTCGTGGTGTTGGTTGGTTCCGGCCAATCCTGAATGGCCTTGATCTTGTCCGCGAGCGGACGGATGCCTTGTGGCGTCACAAAGTGGCCCAAGTACTCGAGCTCTCGCTGCGCGAATTCGCACTTGGCTCGGTTGCTCGGTTGGCCTTGTACTTGGTCGTACGTAGCCTGTCCAAAACAGCGCGTAGATGCACGATGTGCTCGTCCAAAGTCCGGCTATATACCAAGATGTCATCGAGGTAGATGAGCACGAACCGGTCCAACATGTCGCGAAACTCCGTTATCATTGCCGCTTGGAAGGTGGTCGGGGCATTCGTGAGGCCGAATGGCATTACAACCCACTCGAAGTGCCCGTACTGGGTCTTGAACGTGGTTTTGTATCGATTTCTTGGATGGATCTCGAGCTGGTGGTAATCGGCCTTGAGGTCCAACTTGGAGAAATACTTGGCGCCGCCAAAGCGTTCGAGAAGATCGTTGATGTGTGGGAGCGGGTCGGCATTCTTAATTGTTGGAGCATTAAGCTTACGGTAGTCAATGCATAAGCGCAGCTCCTTGTTCTTCTTCCGAACGAAGAGAACGGGTGCACCGTAGGGCGAGCAGCTAGGGCGAATCGAGCCCTTGTCAATGAGGTCATCGAGTTGCGTTCGAAGCATTTGGAGTTCCTCCTCGCTCATGCGGTAAATACATCCGCGCGGAGGAATGGCCCCGTCTTCGAGGATGATCTCGTGACGAGTTGGCCGATTCGGTACAATTCTAGCGGGGGCTTTAAAGACGTCGCCATAGGAGTCAAGAAGTTGTACAATCCGTGGATCCGGTGGTTGTTCCGCCGCTGGCTCGTGAGGAGGAGAGAGGGTGTGCAAGAAACAAATGCCCATTTCCTCCACATCGTTCTGTGCAATGGAGTTGTGAATGCTTGCCGCGGAGATCACGTGACAACCAATCGAAGGGTGAGGTGGGGGGACTGTACATGGCACAAGTACCCCATTCCGGTCACGAAAGTGAAAGGTGCGGCAGTAGAAGTTCACAAGGTGGTCCTCACTGCGCAGCCACGACATGCCCAAAATCATGTCGAACTTTGTGTGCAATATGTCAAAGGACACGGTCTCGCGTGCATGCAGGGCGAAGTACACGGGGACGGAGTCAACGCACCGGTCAATGGACTTGTGCCTACGACCGTCGACCAACGTGACTTGCATGGGCTGCGATTTCCTTCGAACGCGCCGCCCAAGGCCTGCGCGCGTTATGAAGTCTTGGCTGATGTAGTTGCGAGTAGCTCCATAATCAATCAAGGCGCTGCAGGTTGCCTTCCCGATCTGAATGTGGACGTAGAGTAACAGTGCGTCGATGTTATCGTACCGTTGTGTGGCGTACTCGCGGTCAATCTTCGCAATGTACTCGCGAAGGTCAACAACCACTACTCCGTCTTCCATCAACGGAGCTGGTACTGCAGTGTGCAAGTAGTTGCGTAGTTCCGCCATTAGGGCGTTGCAATGCGGCTTCGGCAAGGAACCAGATGGGGGAAGAGGCAGCCATTGGAAGTCCTCCGGTGTCAATGGGTCGAGGTCCTCAAGTCTAGACCACACTGACGAGTCCCCGAGTAATGTCAGCGAGGATTCTGGTTCACTTGGCGATGGTGCTGAAGTGGCGCACGCATATGACTCTTGCACGTGGAGAGGTTGGTCCAATGGCGGGACCAGTTGGACAGCATAGTCTTCATAACCTTCGTGAAGACTGGCGACATACACATGTTCCCCGGACGTGGAGGAGGTTGTTAGCAAGGGAACCGTGTCCGACGTAGTAGGAAGTGGAGTCGCCTCACTTCCCACGGGGCTCAGTTTCCCGAGCTTTGTTGCGGACGGACGTCTTCTTTGCCTTTGTCAGGGCATTGCGACATCGTGTCCTTGGTGCAGCAACAGTTCCACTTCTGGCGGAGCTTGTATTGCTCCTCCGTGAGGCTGAACTTCTTCCATGGCTCGTTCGGCTGTCCGGCTTCCGTTGCTGACGCAGATTTTTCCTTTTTTTTCCTTGTTGTTGCGTAGTGGCGGAAGGCCGTTGACTCCGTCTCCTTCACTAGACTCGTGAGTCAGCGCCTGGTCGTCCTCTTGTCTATCGCATTGGACAACAGTGACTTGCTGCGGCCGCAGGCCTCTGCCCTTTTCCACAAAATTTGGTTGGCTTCGCCGCTCATTGGCGGCCCACCGATTTGTTTGGATTACTTCGCGCGCCTTATCCACGATCTGGTCAAAGTCCGTGTACAGGCTGCGCTCCCCAAGGGTCGTGCTCAACATGTCAACTGACCGCTGGAAGAATTCGCGACGAAGATGTACGAACGGTATGTCCAGATTCGGAATCGTCACGAGTTTCTGCCATTCGGTTAGCCATTCGCGTGTTGGCTGGCTGCATTGGTGCATGCTGAAAATCCCGTTCACGCCTTTGCCTTGAGCATCGTCGACGATGAAGCGCCTCCGCCACTTCTCAGTCATGGCCTCCCAAGTGATCTTGGTGTAAAGCTTAGCGACATCGACGCCTTCGGTTTGAGCCAGGTGGTTGAGCCACACTTGGCTGGCACCGGTGCCGCAGAGGTAAAGCGCTGAGATCTTCGACTCTGGCGGGACCAAGTGGATGGAGAGCTCGTTGGTGAACCCTTGCCACCAACTTATGGGGTCCGCCCTGTGGTGGTCATCAAATCTGTCAATGCTGAACTTCGGCATCTTGAATTGTTTAGACGTCAGGCTGTTGCAGGTCCCGGTTGGTTGCTGCTGTAGCTGACGCAGATCCGCTTGTAGGGCGGCTATTTGCTGGCTGATGGTCGCCGGTTGTCGAAAACTGTTCAAGCGCTACTAGGTGATCCATTCGTTCTTCCAGCTCGCGGATCGATGGATCAATGTTTGACGGTGCCGTGTGTCTGTGGCACGTCATCCTTCTCCAACACGTCAAGGCGGGCATGGAGGCTCTTGAGAGTCTCCTCGTACTCAGCAATGGTATGTGCCTGCCGAGCCAGCTCCACTTGTTGCCAATTGCAAGTGTGGATGACTTGGTGCATCATGTTGGCGAGGGCTGACTTGGTCTTCTCCTCCGCAGTTGGCTCGATCGTCTCCGCCGGATCAACATTCCATGCTTGGAGTGCGGCGGTATGAGCGGCTTCCTGCTGCATGAGGACAGATGCGGCATCTTTTCGAGCTTTGTTATGGTTGGCAGCTGCTTCAGCGTGCCGCCGGCGCCGTTGCTTCGCGTCGCGTGCAATGGCGTTGAGGTGTGCCGTTTCAGCTGCCGCCTCGCGTTGCTGTTCCTCTCGTACTTGTTGCATGTAGGTGCCCAGGCGGGAAGGCCATCATGGTCTCTCCTTGCTGCCAGACTGGCGCGGCGTCGAGGGCTCCCGCAGGTGTCGCAGTGGAACCCACCTGCTGGACCAGGGGGTTCGAGGTGCACGCCTCGCGTGGACTGCCGGATGAGGCATTGCCCACCGTGGGGTTGCCCTGGGCGTCCATTTCAGAGGGGTGGGGCAGGGGTAGCTGCTGTTCCGCTGCGGCCGCCCGCCCTTCACGTGCTGCGATGTGTTTGCTGCGTCGGAGCATAAGCTGCAGTTAGCTGTACGGTGTCGGCTGACGCGGTACTGCTGACATGGCCCTGCTGCTGTTGTGGCACTGCTGCTGTCATGGTACTGCTGCTGTGGCACTGCTGACGTTGCACTTACCAAAACGGGAATGCAGGCAAAGGGTTGAGTGGGAGGGAAAACGCAGGAAAGTAACCAACCAAACTGTACTTTCCTCCTGGTCCTAATGAACAGAATAAAATAAAGAAAAAATAAAATAAAAGAAGACGATCATATCATCACACCCCCCCCCCTTTTTCTTCTTTTCTTTGCTAGGTTGTTGGATCGGACGTCCGGGACCCCCCTGACCGTCCGGGACGTCCGACCGGACAGGGTATGTCCGACCTAGCGCAAAAAAAAAAAAAAAAAAAAAAAAAATCTCAGAAAAATCTGAAAAAACTACATGTTATGTAACATAACAATACAAGCAACTTTTGCCTTAGAGTCATGTTCAAATTCGCAGCCAATCATGAGTTAAAAATAAAAAACCGGACAAAAAATAATTTATTTTTTTTCGAAAAAAAATATTTGTTTTTCCGGACGACGGGGGTACCGGACGTATGGGGAGACGTTCGGGGGAGACAACCGGCCCTCGGACCATTGGTAACCTAGTTTCTTTGTATATCTGTCGATCTGCTATGAGTGAGGCATTTTACAGAGGAGTGCTAAGAGTAAGATCTACGCAAGGCTTCGCAAAATTTCGGCTTTCAAAAAAAAAAAATTGCGATTTTGAAAAAAAAATTGTGCGAAAATGTAGGCTGGGCCGGCGGGGGATGCCGGGGCCGGGCTGTGCTGCGCTGCACTAGAGAACCACGAAGAAGACGAAGACGAAGACGAAGACGAAGACGAAGACGACGACGAAGAAGAAGAAGAAGAAGAAGAAGAAGAAGAAGTTGAAGAAGAAGAAGAGGAGGAGGAGGAGGAGGAGGAGGATAAGAGGAAGAAGAAGAAGAAGCAGAAGAAGAAGAGAAGGAGGAGGAGATGACGAAGAGGAAGAGGAAGAGCGACAAGAAGAAGAAGAAGAAGAAGAAGAAGAAGAAGAAGAAGAAGAAGAAGAAGAAGAAGAAGATCTCTCTCTCTCTCTCTCTCTCTCTCTCTCTCTCTCTCTCTCTCGTACTAACACACTCACCATGGCGCGCGCCGGGGGGCGTCGGGGCGCGTCGGCGGGCAGCGCGATGGCGTTCGGGGCCCGTCGACTCCGTTGCCGGGCAGCGCGATGGCGTTCGGGGCGCGTCGACTCCGTTGGCGGGCACCGCGATGGCGTTCGGGGGGCGTCGACTCCGTTGGCGGGCGCGCGGCTCGACGGCAACGACGAAGGCTGCACTCGGACGAAGTGAGGTGTTGGGCGGGGTACGAAGGCAACCACCAAGGCCTGCGCCAGGAAGGCGGGAAACCAGAAGCAGAGTGGGGAAAAAAAAGGGCCGGTAGGGCCGATTGAAAGATTTGAAATCGCGGCCCATCTGGGCCGTCGATCTTGGAGATCGACGGCGCAGATGGGCCCCGATTTGAAATCTTTCAAATCGGGCCTACCGGCCCTTTTTTTTTTTTTTCTTTTCCATACACGGCCTCCTTTGGGGGGGAGAAGGCCCCCCACGACGGAAAAAAAAAAAAAAAACCCGCCCTCGATGATGCGCTGGGGTCGCCCGGTGGCCAACTGGGCGGAACGACCGGCCAGGCGGCCCAGCCCCCGCCCGGGCGACAAGCCGGGCGCCGGGCGGCCCGGAGTTCAGCCTAGGCGAAAATAGGATAGAGATTCAACTTTCAGAAAAGAAGTAAATCCAGTTTCCCAGAATATGACCACCTCTGTCGTTATCCTAATATGCCTAGAAAAATGAGATGCTAACATCAGAAATTTTCAACTATAAATGCTCATATCAGAAATTTTCGGATGTTAATATCAGATGCGAGGCTACGCCCGCTTAGCCCCTACGGGGCCCTATCTGCAACAAGGTCGG